ATATAATAATAAAATGAAAGGTAGTAATGAATGGTTTTGAAAATGGATAGCACAGACTCCTCATTTGTTATTTATTTGGGGAGCATCATTTCCATGAATATCTCAATTAAGGGAAAGAAATTTTAGCTTGTTTGATAGCAGTTCTGCTTTTTACATTTACATATGAAATCAGAATGTTTATTTTGTGTTTTGAAAAATGCATTAATCCTTATTTGTAGTGGAAATTCATGAAAACAATCTGCTTTCATTTTATCATGCTGTAATATTTAGATTTTTGTGTGAAGATGTGATAAATTTTGAATTAAACCTTGATATTTTTTATGAATTGATACTTTCTCTAAAATAGTCCTTATTTATTAATTATAATCAATGTAGATGGAATTAAGAGGCTATATTATTGTGATCTAAAGTCACCTAATATTTTATCTGCTTTCACTTGCTAAATCTTGAAATATAAAGAAGGAGAAGTCAGTGGATGATGGTCTTCTGATCTAGTCAAAAGAATGCAGTAATGACACATGAAATACATTTAGCATGGTACAGAATTTTGTCAGTATCTCTATCTTCAACACAGTACCTCTCTCTGAATTGCCTTAAGACACTGTTCAGGGCCCACCAAATAGCTCAGTGGATTAAAGCACCTGCAAGCAGGTGCAGGGCCAGGGGTTCAATCCCCAGGCCTGCTGTGCTGGCCTCACCCCTCTTTCTGAGGACAGGAGGATCACTGTGAATCCGATCTGTGTAGTAAGACCCTGTAGACCCTGCACTAAATACATTAAAAAATAAAATAATAATAAAAAACATGTTGGATCTCATCTTTTTTAAAAGTTTCTGCATGCCAACAGAGTAAAAAGAAAACCCACAAATTGGGAAAAAAACATTATAGCCCACTGTCCCTCAAACAAAGGACTTCTGTCTAGAACATATAAAGAATTTTTTAAAACAGACCTCCAAAATTCAAAGACCTAATCTGGAAACAGGCATCTAAAGTGAATACAGGGGCCGGGTAGATGGCTCAGTGGAATAAGCACTTCCCTGGCAAGTGCAAGGGCCTGAGTTCAACCCCCAGTTCTGCAAAAATAAAAAATAAAAATAAATAAAGTGAATACACACTTCTCAGATGAAGAAATAAAAATGGCAACTAAATATATGAAAAAATGTTCAACATCATTGATCATTCAAGAAATGCAAATTAAAACAACACTGAGATTCCATCTCACCCCAGAAATAATGGCTTTCATCAAGAAGTTGACCAATAACAAATGCTGGAGGGACTATGGGAAAAAGGGCACACTTCCTCACTGTTGGTGGAAGTGCAGACTTATACAATTAGTTTGCAAATCAGTGTGGAGGCTCCTCAAAAACTAGAATTGGAGGTCACATTTGACCCAGCTATTGCCCTCCTGGGTATTTTCTGAGAAGAACTGAAAATACGCCACAGATATATGTGCACCAATATTTATAGCAGCACAATTTGTCTTAGCCACCAAGACCTCCAAAGCTGCCCAAGGTTCAGCATGGCCCCTGGGATGGTGAGGGGCAGGCTTCAGCCCAACAAAGCTCTTACAAAGATGAGAGAGGTGGGCCACAGTTCAGCGAGTCTCCTGCATCAATAGGGTTTTCAGATTTTTTTTTTTTTCAGAACCAGGGATTGAACCCAGGTCCTTGAGTTTGCCAGTCAAGCACTTATCCTACTGAGCCATCTCCCCTGCCCCTCCTGCATCAATAGAGCAGCAGGGCACACACATCACAGGCTACCTCAGTTGTGTTATGTAGATTACTCCTTCCGCATACCCTTCTTTCTACATATTGCAGAGGTGACTTCAGGCCTTCCAGCTAGCCCAGTTCACAGCACTCACTTTCTGCCATTCTCACAGTCGCCCATCCTCAAGCCACCCCCTTCTTCACAAATTAATGAAATCTCAGTTCAGCCCTGGGTCAAGGGCTTTGTTCCTGTTAGCCATCATTGAAGCTGGACTTAGGACCCCTTGGTTCCCTAAAACTACAAATATGCCTTAGTGCCTTTCTTCTCACAATGGGTTGCACTAGAAGTAATAGGGCCAGGGAGATGGCCCAGTAGAATAAGCACTTGCCTGGCAAGTGCAAGGGCCTGAGTTCAATCCCCGGTTGGAGGTGGGTGGTGGAGCTAGAAGTAATAGATTGAGATTAACTCACCAGAATTTTTTTTTTACATTTATTTGTGTGTGGGTGTGTGTGTGTGTGTGTGTGTGGCCAGCTCAGCCCACCAGGGGGCGTGGCTGGCTGGCATGTGGTGCTGGGGGATCGAACCACGGTCCCTGTGCTTTAGACTAGCTTGTTCCAAGTAGGTGCTTTAGACCACTGAGCCATCTCTCCAGCCCCAACTCACCAGAATTTTAATAAATTTTCCATGATATT